TCCTAACCCTCTCCCCTCCCCACTTCCCATGCCTAGACTCCTGCATTTTTGTGGATTTGGAGCATTCCTGATTCTGTTAGATACATTTTAATGGAATCTTCCCACTTGATCTGTATGGTGCTGTAATTTAAGACAATTCCTTGTCTACCTTTTGACTCAGGCAGAAACCATTCCGGTCTGTGAAACTCTCATAAAACACTGAAAGCACCCAAGGCAGTTTAAGTAGCCCATTATCAAGCAGAATTACCAATTAGAACTGCTTCCATTCCTAAATAAAAGTATGCATGCAAAATATTTCAGAGTCCCGCTTGCCTGTTTAAAATTGGATTTGCCATTAATTGCACCTTCCATTACAGTTAGTCCTCAGCTTACGACCACAATTCAGCCCAAAATTTCTGTTGCTAAGCAAGACAATTGTTAAGTGAGTTTTGCCCCATTTTAAGACCTTTCTTGCCACAGTTGTTAAGTGAATCACCACAGTTATTAAGTGAATAACATGGTTGTTAACTGAATCTGGCTTCCACATTTACTTTGCTTGTCAGAGGGTCACAAACGATAATTACATGACACTGCAACCATCATAAATACCTGCCAGTTGCCAGGTAATAGTCGTAAATGTGAAAAATGATCATAAGTCACTTTTTTCAGTGACATTGTAACCTTGAACGGTTACTAAATGAATGGTTATAAATAAGGACTACCTGCGCTGTTATACATGTTACAGGAGGATGAAAATGCAAAAGACTAGCAAATTTATTCTTCCACATAAACAAACAAACAAAAATGATTGTAGTGGTCTTCTATTACCTTTCCACCACAAACAATCCCAGTTAAGAAATGGGATGCAAATTAAATTTTGTCAAATTATGAGACAATTTAATCACTGGCAATTTAGTCAAGAATCTCCCAAAGAATTTCAGGCTTGATTCAAAAGTACATTGATCTCTTTGGCAAGCATATAAAAACTGAACGAAATGGAAAATGGGACCCTTGTAATTATGAGGTTCCCAGCACTAGCATGGACTGCAATAAATTACAAAGTCTGCATTCCATTTGCTGAAATAGTCTCAATTTATCATTTTATTTTAAAGAGATTCCATTATGCTAATGTCTTACAAAAGCACTTTCTGGTTTTTCTAGAAGGTCAACAGGGGACACAAATTATGAGATTTAGAAGTATGTCAGAGAGGAAAGCAAAAGTACTAAGTTTTAATAAAGAGTGACATAAACATGGCTACTTTCAACAATTTTAGAAAAATACTTTGTGTAGACATACTGTATCTATAGATATGTCTCCTATTTTCACTTGTCTCTTGTTAATAATAGAAGCTAGTTCATTAAAATGTGGTTTGCTTTATAAAATATCATTTCCCACTACACAAAATTAAAGGTTTTTTTTGTGCGTGTGGCACATTGCCCAGATATGCACATCTCAAGAATAATAAAATATTGTGTCTTGGAATGGAAAATACTTTGTCTCTAAGAGTTGAAAAGAAATATGGCTTCTAAATGTAGCATTTCAACAAATAGACTTTTCTCTGAAAAAGATAAATCTTGTATATCTTTCACTGCCACAGGAAGAAATCAGAATCTATTTAAATGCATTTTTATATAATACGACTATTTCTACAGTGTGGAACAATTGCTCAGTTAAAATATCGCAGATAATGTTTATTATAGTTGCTTTGTTAAAAATAGAATTGGAATAGTATTAATAGAGCCATTTTGAATCAAGTGTCATGCAAGATGCCATATACATGACATGTTTAAAAATAACAATGTGTTTCTATTAACGCATTAAGGTTTTCAAAAAGCAGTATATAATATAGGTATCCTTACGGAAAACAGTATCTAAATTTTAAATTAGGAGATAAGGGCACAGATTTTAAACTGTATGAAAATGTATGTGTATATTTTAATTTAAATATTTAAATAAATATCAAATTTAAAGGTAAATCAATCAGAATACAGGACATTTTTAAAAATTGTATGCCTGCAAGTCAATCTTGACTCCTGACAATCAAGTCACTGGACCAGTCACTGCAGTTTTGTTGGCAACATTTCAGAAGTGACCTTGCCTTCTTCTTAGGGTTATGAAAGAATGACTGAATTAAGGTTCCCTGATTGGCTTTATGCCTAATGTGGGACTAGAATGCAGTTTTCCAATTTCCAATGTGGTAACTTAACCACTGCACCAAACTGGCTCTGTATGGCGCAGAATATAGAAAATAAAATAAATTCAGCTATTAAAAGAACTATGTAAAGGCATCTGCTTCTTCATGTGTCCCCTTGTTTTGAAGAGCACAAAGTACCATTAATGAACAAAGAACATTTGAAGCTGATAAACTGTGAGCATGAGATGATTATTTCTGGTTAGAATGGACAACCTTAATAGTTCACCTCAAATTTCTCCCTCCCTCTCCCTCTCCCTTCCTGTCTCTCTTGCGCACACACACACACACACACACACACACACACACACACACACACACAAAGGCATATGTTACATATCGTCTCTCTTTGCCATGGTCAGCTTGACTAGGCTTCAGTCTTCTCAGTTCTTTAATGTTATTTTATTAGCTAAAAAGGAATTGTTTTATTCTTTCTTGAAGAAGAAACAAAAAAAAAAAATCCCCAGAGATTATGTTCTTATACTTACAGGCAGTAGGTTTAATCTGTTCTGTATTGAACAAATTAATCTTTTTATTCAGAGATCAAATGATCTTTCACTGATGGAAAAGAACTGCAATTTATCAACCTGTATCATATTAATGTAAAGGAAAAAATGCACATACTATATTTCTATTTCTTGTGGCCACTATCTTGGAGGAAAACAACATGTGATTTATGAAAAAAAAATGCTTATCACTACACCTACAGCTTGATAAAACTTCAAAAGATGACCCTATGTAATTTGAGTACTGAAGAAAATTCACCTAGTTCCTGAAATGATTATTTCAGACCAATGAGCTTGGATGAACGCTGATTTAATTGCAATCTAGCATGTTCTTTTAATACATCAAATGTTGCTTAATCCATGAAAGATTAGTACAAACAAGCAAGTTCTTCATTTGAAATGTTTGTTCTAACATTAAAAAAATAACACTCTCTGTACTGAATTTAAGGATTTCTTTTGATACGAGAGGATCAATTCCTAGGCATCCTGTTTTTAATGAAGGAAGATGAAAACAGTCACACACAGCAGCAAGTGTGCTGTTGGTATACACGATTCATTTATTGAGCATTTTACAGCTGCTCCCACTTCACAACATAAGTGCATGCTTTACCAGAGGCCCTTTAGATGGGTCAGTGCTCCCATTTTGATGGAGTTCTCAAGGGGAAAAAAAATCTACTTCCTCCTTTTCCCACCAAAATAAAACATAAACATTATTTCAGGTCTTGAATATTCCGATTAATGCAATATTAAAATCAGTAAGAGGAGATGAGCATCATATTGTTTCTTGACCTGAAAGTAATTTGACAGTGTAAATTTGGACATGTGACAAGCAATATAGTAATTTGGATTGCTTCTTTGCCTTAGGCAAAAGGAGTCAGAACATTTCTTTTGTAGAGGCTCAATAACTAAACAAATTTTAGTTTTGTAAGAATCTTTCTTCTTGTAATTCTAGGAAGGTACTGTCAAGAGTGCTCTTTATCTAGCTCAAAGGATTTAGCTGTACTCAGTTCCAATCTGAAGTTCCTATTAGATGCTATGTGTAATTTGAAAAAAAAAATCATCAGACATTGCTAATAACTTATTCATGTTAAGAAATGATTACATATCTGCAGTTTTGATATGACTATGGAGAAATCCTACTTAATAGATAAATTTAATATTATATTTAGAATCATAAATAACCAGCTAGATGAAGGCTAAAATAGCTGTGGGAGCATTGGTTCATGTTTGTTTCTCCCAATGCTTACGAGAAATATTTTCTAATATTTTCAATTCTGTTCTTCCCCTGATGTATAAATTGAGCAACTCGGTTTGGGAACAGCAGCCAAAAGTTACATCCAGCCCTTGTTTGAACAAGTTGTTCACTAAAGACCTATATGCAACACTGCAATTAGGTTGCCATTACAGATCAGTGCTATTTGGACACTCAAAAGAATCTCAGTCCAGATATTGATTTAAATAACACTGTTCTTCTTTTGGATTGAGTGATATAACACTTGAGGCCTTCTTAAGTCCTAATTTCTAAAACGTTGCTTTTTAAGGGCATCTCAAATAAATCAATGCAATGATGTATACATTTTCCAGATACCAGTGCTTCTCAAATATCTCCTGTGTAGCTATCAAGAAGATTCAACTAAACTTCTTTTGCTCAGTCTAAAATATTTCCTTCTACCTTCAGAATTTAGAGGACTTTAGAATTTAACAAGAGGTAAAGAATATCTTCTATTAGAACTGAATGGCTACATCTCTGCTAATTTTTTTTAAAAAAATATTAAATATTAAAATGAGATTAGAGAAAATAGTTTGTTTCTGGGGCTGAGAACAAGAATTAAACAAAGAAAATTAAATATGTATGCATAAGACTATATTGGACTACTGACTCCCAAATGGATCTTGGGTATTATACAATTCCAAGAGATAATTCAGGTAAACTTGGAACCATCACAGAATGCGTTGGTTAAAAAGAAAAATAACTAGGCTAAAGGAATTTTGAAAATACTGTGTCTAAATTTTGATAACTTTACAGAAAAGATCATAATTCAGCAATAGCAGGACCAAGTCTCAATAATGTCAAAATGATGACAGATACAATGTTGTCAGTTAACAAATGTTGCATATTTGCATTTCAGCCTCTGATGCAAATACAGATGGCATTTGTATGATGATGACATCAGGCAAATGTGTCACCATTTTTCCCATCATGGACATGTATACCAGGAATTTGCAGCTGCACAGAAAGCTTTACAAGAAAGAAAGAAAAATGTGAATGTGTCTGTTTTGAATGGGTAAATTCATGTTGTTCAGCTTATCTTTAATAACTTACCTGATGAAATAGGAACTCTGTTGTCCAAAATCACAGCTAGTCCCAATGAGTCAGAAGGTAAAAGGTTCGTACTAAGATCCACACGAGTAAGACTTGTCGGTTCTCTTCCATTGTTTGAGAGGAGGATCCTGGGGTTTTCATTCTTACTCTTCTGCTGATTCTGAATAATATGAACAATACTTTGCTGGGGTAGATCACAGTTCTGGAGGGGGGAAAAGTCAAATTCCCATATATGTTAGTTTGAAATCTTCATTATCATCTCATCTAATTTTTTAATCTCATCTTTTTTTAATCTCATCTAATTTTTACAACGTTAATATTTTTAAAGTTCCCAAATATACTTAATATAGAGTGAGTGGCCAATGGACAGAATGTCTGACGACAACTCTAAGGGTAATGAATGAAGAAAAAATGACGTAACATAAATGGCGAAACAGGGTTACTTCCTTCACCAACAATTTGAACATTTCTATACCTGAAACAAATACTACATTCTCCATTCATTTTGTGTCTGGCAGCCACTTTCCAAATCCCATCCATTTCTAGAGGGCTTTTGCAACAATCCTTGTGAATGCAGTGATTCTCATGGTTTTTTTCCTGAAATCAGTCTGAGAATTATAGGGTGTCTCAAGAAAATCTTTGAATAAACTGTCCGTTAGTTGTAAAGACATACTGTACTTCTTCATACTAAGTATCCTTTAGCGCTAAAGATATACATTCATAATAACTTTTATAGAGAATCCATTATTGGCATAATCAGCAAAATCAACATTTTCCTGGAAAAATTGCACACAAAATCAAGTTTTCTTAGTCTATTTGATAACCCAGTACTAATTCAAATGGCCTTATTTTCTGTGATAACAAGAGACATCATATTCAAGTAGAAGGAAAAAATCTTGTCTGTTTGGTATGCATTCTGTGGATTACTGCTTTGGAACCATTTTGGACATATAATTGGAGAAGTGACATAAAGAAAAAAAATGTTCATATTAAAATTTAAAAGTTTATTAATACTTTATTTCCCACATACTCTATTTTGAAGTTCATGGATTTTGGATTGTTATCCTTCAGTTTCAGAACTATTGTTTCCCATAGTGTCCTTGAATTTGCAATCTGCTTGGAACAGACTTACTTCACAAAAGGTTGCAATAATAAAATATGTATATAAGAGTGAAGAATACAATATTGTGTTGCCTAGAAAGGATAGTATACAAATCTATTACTGATGTACTGATCAGTATATCAATACAATCTGATTTACTGATGTAACATGTCTACCCAATTGCAATTTAACACAAAATGTTGAATAATCAATGATGATGGAGTCCAGATTTATCTTACTTATTGTTGGTGCACAGAGGGAAATATGTCTGCCAGTACTGGTTAAATAAATAAATCAATTTTATTGATTAAATAAAAATAGAACATGGTAAATGTATAATATACAATATGGTAATGTATACATTATACAAGGTGAATGTATAATAATGTCATTTAAACCATAATACAGGCAAGTAGCACAACATATAAAATCTGGACTAAAATATGAAACCAGTTCATGCAACTTTTATACTTACCATTTCAACCATTCAAAAATACAAGGTATTTTTTTTCTTTTATGACACAATTAGCTTATGTAACAATTGAGAAATTAATAATGATTACTAGAAAGATGAGTCTATAACACTAGACAAAGCTGTCAAATATGAAACAGTTTTTGAAACTGAAAGTTCTACATTCATTTTACTGTAAAATCAATTCTCAGGGATAGAATTCAGGAGGGACATAAAGTAATACACTAAAAAAGGGGGAGAATCATAAAACGTCTTCCATAGAGAAAAAACTAAAAACACCACATCTGAGCGCTCTATTATTACTACCCTTTAAGACTTAGAAGACAGATTGTACATTGTATCTTTAAACTGTGGTGCATAGAAAGAAAATCAGGAAAAAATACATGTGTATCTACCTTGCACAATTAATTTCATTTTTGAATAGAGTTATAAGAACTAGCGAACAGAAGTTTAAATCACCAGTAGATGGCAGGAAATAGCAATTTTCATGTTTATTTGCTGTCATCTAGGTTCTGCATTCCAGATCTGCTCGGTCTAGTTTTGCTACATGGCCAAATGGTAACAGGCAAGGCATTAGAAAATGGATCAAAAATGGCCTTTCGCAGCCTTTCCTCACTCTTTTAGGAAAACTGAGATATTACAGAGCCTGAAGTCTAAAGTAAATTCTGTCATTATATGCAACAATTGCTTGAGACTAATTAGCCCAAATAATGAAGCAAGTGCAATGTTGTAGTCAGAATCCATTAATGGATGCAAAACCCGTTAATGTACAAAAACATCCAAAAATATTCAGGACTGAAGACGGCGCCAAAAACCTAAACCGATGACTGCGGTAGAACAACCAACCGGTGAATAGATTGGCTTTTCAATAATTCCTCTCCTAACAAGGATCTATAAGTGCTCCTGATAGCTTCTCCTTGCAAGGAGACCTCAAGATAGCTGGAATATCTCACTTACTCAAACCATGATTGGCGCCTTTGAAAGGACACTAATTTTGCATATTTTATTTTCTAATTACTTTTGGAAATTGCTTTTCAGCTATTAGGAATCTTTAGGATCAGACAAGTTTGACTGTGGTGGGTGAGTTTCCTTTAATCTTTAGCAAAAAAATGTTAACTACAAATTTAAGAACTTGGATTCAATGTGGGCAATGGGTACCTTACAGAGTTATGTATGTTTCCAGAATAGCACCCATGTTATAACTCTGCTACGTGAGCTGCATTGGTTGCCAGTTTGTTTCTGGGTCCAATTAAAGGTGTTATTTTTAACCTTTAACATCCTTCATGGCATGGGACTGGATTATTTGAGGGACCACTTTGCCCTGATTACATCGGTCTGTCTACTAGATCTAGCAAAGAGAGCATGCTTTAGGTCCTGCCTGCTAGGGACCTACACTTGGAGGGTTCCAGGAGATGCACCTTCTCCGCCATGTTGTCCAATTTGTGGAATATTCTGCCCCTACCCCAAAGTGAAGTTATATTCATCCCGGTTAATGTTCCCTAAGTCCCTAGGATCTAGCCATGTCAACAGGCTAGGGATCTCAGGGGATGGGTGATATTCTAAGATATCTCTCTCCTAAATCTGGTTGTATTGCTTATGAGATAGTCACATTTATTTATAAATGTGATAAACAAACAAACAAACAAATAATTTTAAACATTAGTTCTGGAATAAAAAGCAAAAGAGTGATTAATTGATTTTACAAAATTATAAACAGATTAAAGGATCCAGGTAAATTTCAAATAAGATGTTGAAATTAATAACAAAGAATCCATTTGTTTTTGTTGTTGTTGTTGTTGTTTAAATAAGATTTTAAAAATTGGAGAGAACTAGAAGGAACTAAAGATTGTAATTAAAGGGAAAGGACACCTAAACTTAATTTACAATTACAGAATGAAGCAAAGCATTCTAAGATTAGACATAATGCAGGATATTTTTGAACAATCGACTCAGAAGTTAATTTTAGTAGTACCAACAAAGTGATCTGCCTCTATGGAGAGATTGCATCTAAAAGGATGCAGTTATTATAGAGAAGAACAAATTTTATCTGACAAGACTGAATCAAAACTGGATTTACAAATGACAGGCTACAAGAATCACATGGAAAAAGATGTTACACTGGACATACAAAAGAAACCAGCTGATGCCTTAATAAATAAAAGGGATATACAAATGATAAACTAAGACAGTGACCTGGATAATTTTCCTATATTGTATTGGATTTAGAAAAGAAGTTTGTTGAAGTTTTGAAGAATCTCATGAGAAGGGACAAACAAAAAATAAAAAAAACCCATTAAGTTCTATGACATTATTTGAATGGACTAAAGAATAAAGATGGCTATAAGTAAAAGGAAGAAATATAAAGTTGGTTTAATTGACCGAGGTTAAAATAGATGTGTTATTATGTCTGGTAAACCTTAATGGACATTAGGGCTGAAATCACAAGGTATTAGGAATTAATTTATAGATAAGTGAGATATAGGGGAAATGTTTAAGAGAAGATGATAAATTACTAAAATTTATACCTGTGATGATATTGAGAAATCACTTCTTTATATATTTATTATCTTTTTCTTTACTATACTTCTTTACTTTTTCTTCTTATTTTTCTTTGTATTTTTATTTTTTCTTTCTTTTCTGCACCTTCTTTCTTTGATTTCTCTATTTTTTCAATTTATATTAGTTTTTACTGTTGTAACTATAATCTTTAATAAAATTATAGTAAACCAATTTCATAGTATTTGACATGAGTTTGGGTTATAACTATGCAGATTATACATATACCCTTTTGGAATTGAAATGCTAGAGTTCCTTGAATTTACACTGTTTTTATGATGTAGTGCAGACATACCTAAGAGATCTCATTAACTTTCTGCAAACATTTTCTTTATTTTTTTAAAAAATCAACATTAAACTTGCAATAAATTATTGTATTTGCACAATATTTAATCCCAAAGATCAAAATAAGAGCAGATGTTATTGGCGAGAGGCTTGCATTCACAAAGTAAAATATTTTCTAATACAAGCCAACAACAATGACGTAAGCAGGCTCTTATTAACAAAATAAAATCATGCCACAAAATATTAAAAAGCTCATCAGTGCATCTGCATGCAGTTCTTGTTCAACCATCTCTTCCGTTTCTGTACTTTCACTTATTTTAAAGGTTAGTCAGAAAGATAACAGATACATTTATGTATATGCAATACCTGCATGAAATTATTCATTGCTTTTCTGAGTTCAAAATGCCATAGGAGCTTTATAGCTTTCTTTCTGAGGAACTCTAGTAGCAATTGATAGCAAATTAAAGGAAGCAAGTCTTTAAAAAAAACATGCAATCATGATAGTCTCAATCACTCTGAGGCATTATATGGAAATGACTTCCATAGAATCAAGAACTTTTTCACTCTTCCTAGGAGTAAATTATTTTTGCTATTCCAAAAATAAAGAGAGACTGAATACAGCTAATGTACTTCCATTGATGGGTAAAATTAATAATGACATCTTCAAAGCTTACCTTGAAGGTGGAGAAAAGCTAGTTTTCCAAGAATACCTGTTCAAATAAATCCTCTATAAATACTAGAAGACATTGCATCTCAACAGTCAAAAGCAGAGGTGGGTTTCAGCAGG